CCCCCCCCCCCGTACCTGTCGATCTTGCTGTCTGTCTTTAATTCTTTCTGCCTCCCGTAACGTCGAACCCCTTTCTTGCCTGTCTTCTCCAATTTCATAGCCATCCATCAAGCACAGTATGCACCAGCAGTTGTTCAGAGCACAATAATACGACAGAATAAAAAAGAAGGGTAAAAAAAACCCCAAGACAAAAAAACCAACAAAAAACAAAAAAATCTCACCCACTTTGAATTTTCCGCCAATAATACCAAGATTGACGCTGATTATGTTCTCCTATTTTGTCAACTCGGCCTCAAGAGTGGCAGATATTTTTTTCGTTCTTCACAATCATTCCAAATATACATTTTTTGTTAGTAAAAACGAAAATGTAAATCTCAGAGTCTCCCCGTGATAGGAGAACAATAATAGGAATAATAAACACGTTAGTATGGCGATATAATGTCATTATAATTTTGAATGTATACTTTTCTTTATGTTCATATTTCTCCGCATCTGAAAGTTAACAGATCGGTATTGTAACTTTGAATATAATTTACTTTTGTTTTGTTTTTGTACATGTTTCTCTCTCTTTTTTTTGGGATGTGTTTTACGGCGCTCGCAACAGCATAATGTAATATGAGCGGGCGGGACACATTAAACATTTTCAGTTGGTAGGAAATTTTGAATTTTGGCCAGGTGGCGGCCGTAGTCTACTCTTACCGATTTTGGACCACCAAGGAAACTTTAACGTGTGCAACTTGAAGGAGCCAAGGAGTAGCAGTAGAAAGGTGCAGCTAGTCAGGAGCCCAAAGCAGGGGATAAAGGAGGTGAGGGGGTGGGGACAGAAAGTAGAGACGAAAGCGGACACAGAGAGCATGAAAGGAGGAGAAAGGAGACAATGTGGAGAAGAAAAATTTCTGTCACTATCCGGATTTGAACCAGGGATCTATTGAATGAGAGCCTCACTCCCATATTTCTCTGTATCATACAATTGGAAGACCAACATCTGGGGAGTAACCGTTAGGTACTGTTCAACGATACTCAACAGATCAGAGCTCGATTCTTGTGTGAGGAGAGCAATCTTTATCTAGTATCTCGGTCTTTCAGTTGGGATATTGAATCCCTCGCTGTCCGGTTTGACCCTGACAGGAGGAGTCCAAGCCCGCCTCCTAAATTATCTTAAATGTGTCGATGAGTGCGTAAAAGATCTACATTTAAAAATGCAAAAGTTATCGCCCGTCGTCCGACTCTCAATATATCTGTTTATGCCTTTTCTGAAAAGGGCTCAGTAGTAAATAAAATATGTAACACATAGGGAATAGAAGTCATATACACATCTCTTTTCGGAGTCATGTAAATCATTTACATAAGTGCACCTTAACTGCAAGTAGCTCACACACGTTAAAGGAAGCATGAGGAAAATTCACAAGGTTCTAGTGGAAGAAAATCTATCATTCTATCGATCTGCTCACCTACTTGCCAGCTAGCATTCTAATTTTATAGTGTAGTGAATATGACCCATCCATCTTTCTATCCATCTGTCTTTTCATTCATTCATCTATGCCATGTGTATCCTAGAATCAGACAAGGTTAGGGCATGGTTAAGCCTTGCTCAAGTAACAGAATTAAAAACAAAATATTTAAAGAAACACAATGGCATTGAGTAAAAGAAAGTAGAAAGTATGCAGCAGTGTCTTCTGTATGTCTGTCTGTCTCTTACCGTCAGTTTGCGCGTCACTTTAAGTCAGTCTCCCCCTCCTGTTTCTCTCTCTCTCTCTCTCTCTCTCTCTCTCTCTCTCTCTCTCTCTCTC